GGGGAGGAGATCAATATGTATGATGGCCGGTCAGTTTCACAAAAGCACGAGCCGCTCCTGAGTAGTAATATCAAAATTGTAATTGTTGCGTGATGATGAATATTATTTATGTTTTTGTTATTATAACGATTTATTAATGAGCATACTTGTAACGATAATGATGTTGTTGATTTTCATGATGGTGATTACGTTTAGTAGCATCATTATGAGTCCTATTAAAAATAATATTATCACAAGTATGATTGTCATTATCATTAATAGTAGTTTTGATCATTACTTATTTTCTTTTTCGAAGATGCCGTCGTTGTAGTTTGTATACTAGTGCTTCTAGTTGGCTCGTAAGTGTACGTTTTTAATACAAGATTTTAAATATAAAATATCAAATAGCATTCATTTTCACGAATACTCCCCCACCCTTTTTTTTACCTCCTTTCGTCCACAAACACACATAAAAAACCCCAGACATCAACAACAGCCGTTTACAAGTTCCTACTTCTCTAATGACCCATTGCTGGTCTGGGCTGTTTTCCCGACAGGTCACGACCTTTAGATTGTCGTCTGGTCCCCCTGTGCTCTCTAGTTCCAAACAGCCGTCGTGGTAGGTGCGGAGTTGGCTACTTGCAGAGTACAGCCATACCTTGGAACACCAAGACAAAGTAGTGAGATTAACTCATTCAGTGAGCGACTTTTGGTCATCCGAAAACGCTCGAGTACCTACTGCTTTTCATATTTCTATTATTATGATATTCATAAAGATTTTTCCATTTTTCTCTTCATCTAAACCTTAGACGACAAGGTAGCTATATACACACTGTGAAATAAAACAAAACGCGTGCTATTCATTTATGTGCGATGATTACAAATTATGTGTTACAACATTGCTTGTTGGTGTGCAGCTGATCGGGCTACATAATGTGTGTCCGCTACGTTATTAAAACGTTAGGGACTGAGACTTGTGAAAACAAGAACGAACAAGTATGTCCATGGGTTGGGGTGAAAGTGATGTGACCATAATGTTAGAGAAAGAAAATTCAATCATTTACGATGTGGTTGTAGCGTGTGTGTGGGAGGGGGGGGGCAGAGGGGTGGAGAGGGTGTAAGGGATTGGGTGTGGGTGTGGGTGGGGATGGATAGATAGATAGATAGATAGATAGATAGATAGATAGATAGATAGATAGATAGAT